GTTCAAGGGTTTGAATACTTTTGCAAACCAAAATATATGAGTTTGTATGTAATGTATGAATATAATATACAAGTTTCACTTTTTAAATGGAATTACTGAAATAAATCTACTTTTTCATGATATTCTAATTTTATGACCAGCACCTGTAAAAGAAGTGGATGCATTTTTCAACTAACATGCAGAAGCACTGACCCGAACCTAGCAGAGGATGATGTTGCCATAGTTATGTCTTGCTGTGAGAAGGTCAGCGGCCATGTCTGCAGAGTGGATGTCTGGTGCTTCTACAGAAAACCATAACACTATCTGATTGTAAACACTGTTTTGTTGGATATGGATCTAAGGCCAGTACTACAAAGTAGCTTTAACAGATGCACCTATAGCTGGAAGTCGGACATTGCAATTATCTCGGTGAGGAAACCCTCACTGTTACTTCTTTTATTTTGAAATTTATATTTTTAATGCTGTTGGTTGGTTGAGGGGTGTTGCCTTCAAATGTCTGACCTCTTACCTTGAAATCTGATCTGTTCCAGAAAAAAAAGCTTCTATAATGATACATCCAGATAAAAGAACCATCTTCCTGATAGGAATAAAAAAAATACGCTGAATAAGAAGTTACCTCCTATGTACCACCAATCCTTCTATTTTTAGTACAGGCCTTGACACACCCAACTAAAGTTGCATTTCTTATCATTTGGCAGCATGGCAGACTATTTAATCAGTGGTGGGACAGGCTACGTCCCTGACGATGGACTCTCAGCACAGCAGCTATTTTCAATCGGAGACGGCCTTACGTACAAGTAAGTTTCCCCGCATCACAATCTGATTCTGTTTTCCGAATTTCTCTGCAAAGTAAAGAAACTGTCACAAGGTTTCCTGATTTGTAACGCTTCACTTGTGCGTAACGGTGGGTGAAGTGTATGCACCAGTGCTTTGTAATGGCCAACGCATTTTGAACCAGCAGATCTGACCAACAGTGTGTTGTCTCCGATGGTCATACGGCTGAAGAGCTTTGCTCTAAAGGAGATGGGTTGACTTACAAGTGAGTAAACCAGTCCTCTTCAAATTATTAAAAATCCTCTTGACTCTCCGAATAGGCAATTGAAAAGGGGAAGCAAATTGCTGCTCTTCCAAAACATTCTGTTGATGCCAAGCGTGTTGTTGTGGACGGAAGTGTTTACCGAATAAATTCAGCTAATTGGGGAATCTGTTCTGTAAACATAGAATTCACGACTAACACCTCGTGTCACTTCTCGCACGTCTTTTTGCTCCGTTGAAGGTTCTAATGAAGCACAGAATTTCTCGCCTCTTTTCCCACTTCCCCATCTCCTATCATCCTGGTGGCACATTATGGGTCAACTAATGATAAATTATGATTTATCTGTAGTTTGCTATTTGAGCCTAATGATTCGACAGATGTGGATGTCATTTTTTTTTCTTTTTCACCCCAATTAGACATACACTCACCGGCCACTTTATTAGGTACACCACGCTAGTAACGGGTTGGACCCCCTTTTGCCTTCAGAACTGCCTCAATTCTTCGTGACATAGATTCAACAAGGTGCTGGAAGCATTCCTCAGAGATTTTGGTCCATATTGACATGATGGCATCACACAGTTGCCGCAGATTTGTCGGCTGCACATCCATGATGCGAATCTCCCGTTCCACCACATCCCAAAGATGCTCTATTGGATTGAGATCTGGTGACTGTGGAGGCCATTTGAGTACAGTGAACTCATTGTCATGTTCAAGAAACCAGTCTGAGATGATTCCAGCTTTATGACATGGCGCATTATCCTGCTGAAAGTAGCCATCAGATGTTGGGTACATTGTGGTCATAAAGGGATGGACATGGTCAGCAACAATACTCAGGTAGGCTGTGGCGTTGCAACAATGCTCAATTGGTACCAAGGGGCCCAAAGAGTGCCAAGAAAAGATTCCCCACACCATGACACCACCACCASCAGCCTGAACCGTTGATACAAGGCAGGATGGATCCATGCTTTCATGTTGTTGACGCCAAATTCTGACCCTACCATCCGAATGTCGCAGCAGAAATCGAGACTCATCAGACCAGGCAACGTTTTTCCAATCTTCTCTTGTCCAATTTCGATGAGCTTGTGCAAATTGTAGCCTCAGTTTCCTGTTCTTAGCTGAAAGGAGTGGCACCCGGTGTGGTCTTCTGCTGCTGAAGCCCATCTGCCTCAAAGTTCGACATGTTGTGTGTTCAGAGATGCTCTTCTGCCTACCTCGGTTGTAACGGGTGGTTATTTGAGTCACTGTTGCCTTTCTATCAGCTCGAACCAGTCTGCCCATTCTCCTCTGACCTCTGGCATCAACAAGGCATTTCCGCCCACAGGACTGCCGCTCACTGGATGTTTTTTCTTTTTCGGACCATTCTCTGTAAACCCTAGAGATGGCTGTACGTGAAAATCCCAGTTGATCAGCAGTTTCTGAAATACTCAGACCAGCCCTTCTGGCACCAACAACCATGCCACGTTCAAAGGCACTCAAATCACCTTTCTTCCCCATACTGATGCTCGGTTTGAACTGCAGGAGATTGTCTTGACCATGTCTACATGCCTAAATGCACTGAGTTGCCGCCATGTGATTGGCTGATTAGAAATTAAGTGTTAACGAGCAGTTGGACAGGTGTACCTAATAAAGTGGCCTGTTAGTGTATACCTTAGTCTTTCAGTACTTTCGCATGCATTAGCCAGAGGGTGTAGCATTTACTTTTGATCAATCACGGCATTGTGACCACGATCAATGCTTTAGATGTAGGGCTGCCACAAACGATTATTTTTATAATCGATTAATCACCGATTATTTTTTTCGATTAGTCGACTAATCGGATCATACATTAATTGAATATAAAACACAGAGCTTATCGTGCCAGAATGCAGCTGCTATTGTATAACCATCGTTAAATTTTAGCTATATGCTAACTAAAAATAACTGCTGTGGAAGGCAAGTTCTGCTCTGCAGATATTGTACAGGTTTCTCTTTCATTTTCTTAAAATGATCCCACACTTTTGAGCTCCGTTGCCATGTAGCCATGATACCAGAGCCTGTCTGTATAATGTCTTGTGACGTCCACAGCCTGCCCCAGTTACCACTACTGTGCATGTGTGTCAAGGACAGAAAGGCAGACGTGGCAGTGGAAGGTGTCAAAGCAGTTTGGAGAGAAAAACAAAGTTAAGAACAAAAAAAAGAAAACGATTAATTGATTATTAAATTAGTCATCGATTATTTTAATAATCGATTAGTCGTCGATTAATCGTGGCAGCCCTATTTAGATGCCCTCGCAGCGCTCTCTGAAGAACCATTAGTAATCAGCAGAAAATTCTTCAAATCCTGGCTTCACTTGTCTTTTTTTTTCTTTGTTTGCAGCAGCTATTACAGAAAACATCACTGTATTTACATGTTTTTGAATGTATTGTAAAGAATTACATGACATCTTTGGAAAATATATTAACAGATTGTGTAATGTACTGAAGAGCATGACACAAAAATAATTAGGGGTGCAACAATCCAGAAAATTCACGGTTTGGTTCGATACTTTAGTTTCTTGGTTCGATATTTTTTCGATACAAAAAAAGAGAAATTTCCATGCCCCTTTAAACTTGTAATTTATTTAAATTAATTATGAACATTTGTTTAACCTCAAAAGTACAGTTTTTAAATTAAATGCTGCAGAAACAGCAATTTTCTCAGTGGATCTGCGCTCAAAAATGCAGCCTAGGTGGAGTAGTCGAACCCAGATCCACTGATCCTTTAACACAGATCATCTTCAGAAGACAAGTTGATAAGTAAAATTTTAAAAATCTGTATTGTTTGATACAAGTGTGTATTGAACCTAAAGCACTGTTCGATACGGGTACATGTTGYACCCCTAAAAAGAATATTTTTTTTGTTTCAACCCTTTTTAAAAACATAATTATAGATAAAACAGGATATTTGTTAAATTTATACATTAGTTTTTATGTAGTGCTCTTGTACCGGAAAACAGAAGCGTCTTTATGAGAATAGAAACTTCCTGCCCTACTGTGACATTTAAAACCACAAATAGAAATGATTCTTTAGACTTGAATTTGCAGTTTTGAAACAACCGTTTTTAAAGGCTTCCTAAAGTGAAGCTCATCAGTTGGCAGTATGGGTGTAACAAGATGCTGTGCCACAAGATCTTGCAAAATTAAACGGAGAATTTCTCATTTAGCTGACAACTGTTCCACCCACCCCCCAAAAAAGCCCTGTTTTATGATTTTGTCTGGTGAAAATAACACTAAAATTGTCCTCTTTCCATTGTTTATGTGGCGGCAGTTTAAAGAAACTCATTCGTGTGAGAGGAGTTACTCATTCCTGCATTTGTCAGAAAAATGCCTCCAGCAAATGATTGCAGTAAAATAACCAGCTACACCCATTTTAGTATGATTCTGTGATTGGCACACGGTAATTTTCTTTTAATCGTTAATATTGATGTTTCTTGGCCAACTGTATTAAGCTCAGATGAACCAGTTGTTCACACGTTTAACGATAAGAAAGAGGGTGGAGGACCTGTGGATTTTGGTTTTTACTTAAAGCACTCCCATCTAGCATTGTGCATTTGACTACATTTACCATTCAAATAAAAGCCATAATCAGGCCACAGGGAAGCTGCTGTTCTCTTTAATATTCAAGCTGCTGACTCCAGTCTCTGAAGCCTGAGTGATGCAGCTAAATGCTAGCAGATGTGAGTCCTTCTGTTTCTTTGGGTGTGACCCCTCCCGTTGCAATGTCTCATCCACGACAGCTCTTCTTGTTTTTCCTCGTCCCCACCCATGCCTGAAATAGAGTAAACGTGGGTACTCCATTTCCAAAACAGATCATCTTCCATTTTTCCTCGTGTCCGCCAATAACACTCACTTTCTTTTTATTTTAGATGTGTTGCATAGTTTCATCCATCTTCCCCCTCAGAGGTACAAAGCTTCCCTTAGTCCTGGTTCTGTTCTTGCACTCGGTCTGCTGAAACCACTAAACACAGACTCTGAGCTAGACAGAAGAATGTACTATTTTCCCTCCCCAGGCATTCTCCTTGTCTTTCTCTCATTCTGCCTCATTTTGTGTTTATACAGGTTAAAAGAAGTCAATTATACCTTCTTTTTTCTTTTTTTTTTTAACTAGATTTAGGCAGGACCAAACTGTGCTTGCTATCCACTCTAAATCCCTTTATTTTCTAGAAAACGTTGCATTGCTTAATATAAACACTGGATCTTTGGTAACTGGAGGCTCCTATAGGCTTTTTTTCAGTATGGAGGAGCAGTGTGGACACCTATAGGTTTGGCACCAATGCATGCTACGCACATCCGGTGAGAGTCCCTACCCAAGATGGGTAGTTCTGACTCTTTGTTGGGGTAGCAGCTGTGGCCATGGCTAAAGACTGTGGGATGCAGCTTACTGTGCTATATTAGCTTAGTGCTAGCTGTGGGGTCAAATCCAAACTAAGCACTTTGTCTAAATCAGCTCTTTGGAACGCGTTGGCTGAATAAAACAAATCTTATTGCTAGCAATCTAATGCTACACCAAAAGGAAGATGAGCTTGCCATGGTTCGTTAGCTTGAGCTTACACCTGTGATCACACAACTGACTAGAATGTACTCAAAATAACATTTTATATTTCCTTCACACCTGCCCATCACCTCATCTCCTACCTGAGACACTCTGTCCTGCCTGAGACACTCTGTCCTGCCTGAGACACTCTGTCCTACCTCAGACACTCTGTCCTACCTGCTGCCCCTGACTCTCTGTATCCAGCTCCTAGAGATTAAGTATTAAGTATTTTACTGCCACGGTGCCACCTGAAGTCGGTCAGCTTTAAAAACTCAAGAAAATATCATGAAATAACATGAATAAATACCAGATCACTATTTGTTCTTTGCATCATTTCACTGTTAAAAAGGAAAGGTTTTCTGACCATGAAGCTCTGTTTTTATGCAGAAAATACAGAAACTCTTAGAAACTTAAAACTTTTTTTAACGTGATGAATTTATTCTTGCTAAGATAATAAAAATGTGCTGCTATAATATTTATAAGCTTTACTATATTCAGTTCAATTAAAAATACTTTATTGATCCCAGAGGGAAATTAATTGTATTAGGACATACAGGTGTACTGAAGCAGGTAGACTAAATAACAGAAATAGGCCTATTTGGTGATTTACGAATGTAAATTATAATCAATAAATATCAGAGTGGACTTGGACTCAATCTTAGGATTAAACTACAGTTTAACTGATTAAAAACAACTCAACTATTGGTATCGGACTCCGGGACATGCAGCAGCTCTGATGAGGCGTATTGACCACACCAAATTGTTTATTTAAAAGTTGTAGAGTGACCGAAACTTTTAAGCAGCTGAGCAGGCCAGCCAATCAGCAGGCAGACCACAGGAAACCTCCCAGTTCTGTCTGTCCGGGTCTGCCCGCAGCTCTTTCAGCTGTGTCTGGGTTACACATTTCCTGGTTGCTGTCGGGCGGACTAAACCATTTTGCGCCTCCAAGAGGGGGCCCCCAGAATGTCCAATATGGTGTGGACAGTAAAATAAAGTTCATTCTCTCCGTTATTGTTATCAATATATTTGAAATAAATTACTACACCAATTAATTGAAGGGCCCATTTCATTTGGGAAAAAATGAAATCAGGACTTCCATGGGCCCCTCTCCCTTCTTGGGCCCTGGGTACTCAGGTCCACCCCCCACTTCCACGCCCATGCCTGTGACCACTCTTGGATTAAAACTAAGCCACTGTGGGAACAGTTCGCAATGATGTGGTTACTGCTCTTAAAATTAAACACCGACTTACTCAGTGCAGTCCAGACCGAAGCAGGAAACTGCTTTCGGCGACATATTCCTTTGCAGGATGCCTGAGGCTGTTCAACAGCTAAAGAAGCTCAAACAAACTGAGGGAGCTTAGTTGTAGTTTCTCACAAAAAGAATCTGAGAATGTGTGAGAGTTAGTTGTTTGACCAAGACGGTACAATGTGGGCTCAACCTTGAGCACACATCCTTGGACATTGGAGCTTCTGTAGTTGGTCACGCCAAGTCGATTTCCATAGTGATACACCAAGCTGAATTAGAAAAATACTACAAAAAGATGCTGATTGAAGGTTGTAACGTAGTGCTTTGTAAGAAATATTACTATTTTTGGCCTTAAAATGTCTTTTCATTCACATGAAATCATTTTTATGTGTCTCATTCGTGTGTTTGCCCAACAGATTTTCCAGTTTTTCCTGTTAACCCTTTGAGTCAACCAAAAAGAAGAAAATGTATCAAATAACAATTCAGTAGTTGTCTCCACAAGTTGATTTGCACACAATCTGTAGATCCATTGTCATACTGAAGTGCGGTCATGTTTTTAGACCTCAGTGACTCAGTCTTGATCATCTGTTTTGCATTTTTATCTTTCAGTGACTTCCTGATTTTACCTGGCTTCATTGACTTTACCTCAGATGAAGTGGTGAGTGTGCACATGTTTCTGTAAAGCATTAAAGGGCGTGTGCTCGAGGTTTGTTAGTGTAGAAAGTGTACAACTGTTAGTTTATTTTCTTGCTGCCCTGCTATTTTTGCTCACTGTGGTCACCAACTGGCTGCTCCTTGTGTTTACATTCATGTCTGCTCGCCTGCTCATCGTCTCTCGCGGTGGATGAGTTAATCTCTGAGCTTTATACAAAATCCTGCTCTTCTGCTCAGCCATCTCTGAGGGGTTTTAGTTTAATTGATCTCTAATCTCCGTTTTCTTCAGCGTTGAAAATGCTGCGTTTACAGTAGGCACAGATAAATTTGTACCTTTTCGTTATAGAAAAATCCCCAGTGGTCATTAAATTGGACGAAAGCAGCCTTGTTTATGTTTTGAAGCTACTTTTCTACATCAGGCGCAGGGTGTCTTGAATTTGTGCAGGGTACAATAAAATCTCAAGACTGTTTACTGGAGCAAAATCTGCTCAAAGGTCTCAGTTGGTCAGCTAATGATCACCCAAAACCCACAGCTAAAAACACCAAAGACTCAGARCAGAACATTAGACTGTCCTGAGTCATGATCTAAATTTTAAATGTGGAAAGAGCTGAGAGACTTAAGGAAATTGCTTATTTGCATTGGTTTATTTTCGTGTGTGTGTATGTATATGTATATATATATATATAAATAAAGCACTGCCTGATATACAGTACTTTATTTCTTTTGTCAGTTTAAAGTTAATTAACCTTTCTGTTTTTATATTTTTCTTATTGAAACCATACAAACAAATTAATCTGCATCTGTATTTGCCTGCAATGTTTTAAATTGGTTACAGATCTCCTCTGAGCCTTGGACTAGTTTTTTTCACTTGAGAGATGAGTGTAAATGTTCATAATTTTAAAAACTTTATAGTGCTTCAGGTTTTTGCGTTCGTTGAGCATGTAGAAACTTGCTGTGAAACCATGTGTGTAATGTAGCTGTGGGGCAATTCTCTAAAGTTGTACACTTTTCATGTGCTTCTCTAGTTGAGCAGGATGGTGCAGCAGTTTGAAGGGAAACTGTGTGAATCTTCACACCTACATCATGAACCCTTGAGAACCACTGCGGGCAGCTCCCATAGTTTACGTCTTTGTCAGATAAAGAGCGAAGCTTTGACCACTGTAACTCACTGCTTTCCCATGTGTGAGGAATGTGGTTATTTYCCCCCCCACCCTGTGGAAGAAAACAAAATCTGCTGGCTGTTGTGGGAATGGCAGAGTAAAAGTGAAGTAAAAGGAAAAATTGTACAATTTTCAGATGGTCAGGCTTCTTCTGCTGAAATGAAGCTTTATTGTATGGTGCAGGCATCGCTATCACTTTCATCTTTTTAAAACAAACTCACTGTTTTTTTTGTAATTTATGATAACATTCTTTTACTTGGAGATTTAAAACTGTCAACCAGACAAGGAAAAAAACACAACCTTACAGCATTCAGCAGTTTTTTTTTAGTAGAGTGTGCCTCCTGGTGGACAATGGATGAAATGTCATGTTTGGGTTTTTCCTCTCTTCCAGGACCTGACATCAGCTCTGACCAAGAAGATCACTCTGAAAACTCCCCTCATCTCCTCCCCCATGGACACAGTCACAGAGTCAGCCATGGCAATTGCGATGGCGGTAAGAAAGCACTCAGTGTTTATATAAAACTGTTTTTTGTGAACAAAAAATACTAAGGTGATAACCAGTGTTGTTTTCGATGACGAAATATTTTCCTTGACGTCCCCTTTTTTCATGACGATAATGAGACGGTAATGAAATAAACATAGTTCTTTGATGACTAAGACATGACGAAAATTGTGTGAGTTTTCGTTCACGAGACTGGACGAAAATGTTAATCGGTCGTCTGTCAATCATTTAGAATTCAGAGTGGAGGGAGGGACATCCGCACTGTTGCACACACAACAGCACATACCTTTTCCTCCCGTTCTCTTACAGCCTGCGCCGCTTCGCAAAAAAAGAAAAAAAGTCCGTCCGTCACCTGTAGCTTGCTTAACCAGGGTCCAGGGAGTAACGTCTCCACCATGATTAAAAGCTGTCGCACGTCCATCCTGAGCTCAGAAGCTGTTTGTTTACGTTCATGACAAAAGTAAAACTCTTCTTTGTGTTTATTTATTTTTTGGTGAGGGGGACCTAGCAACTGTGCATGTCAGTGCTTCTTTTCAGAATAAAAGCCTGGTGCATGTAAACACTCGTTTGCACAAGTTTAATAGTCTGCTAAGTTTAGGACTGCATGATGTCCGTTTTTATAAATAAAATGCATCTTCATGGTCCTGGCTGACAAGTTTGAGTTGAACATGTGTGTTCCCCTTTATTGCTGTATGTTTATTGCACTTTAGCAAATTCAGAGAAATAAAGCCACAAAGTGAGAATGTTTTTGGCATTTTAAAAGTAACACAAATTCACAAATGTTAACACACATTAGTCAAATAAATTTGTAAAGACTAATATGTTGTTGTTTTTTAAGACTAAAACTAAACAATTTTTTAAGTTTCCATCGACTAAAACTGGACTAAAACTATTAAATATAGAAATGACTAAAACTGAGTAAAACTTAAGAATTTTTTTTGTTCAAAGGACTAAGACTAAAATTAAAATGGCTGTCAAAAACAACACTGGTGATAACTTTTAAAATCTTTTCTGATGGGTTTCAGCTTATGGGAGGCATTGGTTTTATTCACCATAATTGCACGCCAGAATTTCAAGCTAATGAAGTGCGCAAAGTCAAGGTAAATTAATATTTAAATATTGATTTTCTGTATTTTCAGGCAGTTTATAAATGGTTAKAGCAGTTTGGATGATTTTAGAAAAAGTGTACAGCCCCCTGGTGGTCATTGTATAAATGTGTTTTTGTTCTCTGTATATCACTGAGATGCCTCTGTTTTTCTTTTTCTTTTTTATTTAGCATATGGTAATTGTCTGTCTTATGTTTTATGTGTGTTTCTGAGTGTTTTACTACTTTGTTGTTGTTTTTTGTGTGTGTTTTGCTGTTTCATTTCCTATGAGTGGAGTTTGATTTTTGCTGCTTTACTCACACAAAAAGCATCACAGTAAATATAACTGTAATCTAAGACCTGTTCCTGTCTCTTGGGTTGTCAGAGGTTTGAGCAGGGCTTTATCACAGACCCAGTCGTGATGAGCCCACACCACACAGTCGGGGATGTCATTGAGGCTAAAGTACGACACGGTTTCTCTGGGATTCCCATCACAGAAACTGGAAAAATGGGCAGCAAACTGGTGGGAATCGTCACCTCCAGAGATATCGATTTCCTCTCCGAGAAAGACCACAGCAGACCTCTAGAGGAGGTGTGAAATTTTACAAAAAGCTCAGATACTTCATTTAAAAAATATAACTTAGTTGCTTTAATTCGTTTATCACATTTTATTTTTCAGGCTATGACRAAAAGAGAAGACTTGGTGGTGGCTCCAGCCGGAGTTACTCTTAAAGAAGCCAACGATATTCTGCAGCGCAGCAAAAAAGGTGAATCAAAGTAACTTTTATGTAACCGCTTGAAAGTGTTTTCATGTACATTTGAAATTCACATTTTACTCTCTCCAATTAGGCAAGCTTCCCATTGTGAACGACAACGACGAGCTGGTGGCCATTATCGCCAGGACAGATCTAAAGAAGAACAGAGATTACCCTCTGGCTTCAAAAGACTCCCGAAAACAGCTTCTGTGCGGCTCGGCCATCGGCACCAGAGAGGACGACAAATACAGACTGGACCTGCTGGTGCAAGCTGGAGTGGATGTCGTCGTATTAGACTCGTCACAAGGCAACTCTGTGTATCAGATCAACATGATCAGCTATATTAAACAAAAATATCCAGAGTTACAAGTTGTGGGAGGAAATGTTGTTACAGCAGCCCAGGCCAAGAACCTGATTGATGCCGGTGTGGATGCTTTGAGAGTTGGCATGGGCTGCGGCTCCATCTGCATCACACAGGAAGGTACACTACACCAGAACATACGTAGACATCTGCTTTGTCAACATAAAACGCTGCTAAATAAATGCCATGACTGAAAGCTGAAAATAACTGAAGCGAATCAACACAAATGTTACACTTTAGCTTTGCTTGCTTGTTTTGGATGGAGACTGAATGATTCAAGTTGCAACAAAAACCCAAAGCATCTTCCTTGATTATTTTTGACCCCAGTCCTGATCTGCATCGCCTTGCTTTGTTCGGTTTCCACGTCGATCGCATCCGCTCTGTTTTCCTGTCTCCTAGTGATGGCATGTGGGCGACCCCAGGGAACCTCTGTGTACAAGGTAGCGGAGTACGCCCGACGCTTCGGCGTGCCGGTCATCGCCGACGGCGGCATTCAGACCGTGGGCCACGTGGTGAAAGCTCTGTCTCTTGGAGCGTCGACTGGTGAGAGCTCGTCTCGTTTTCTTACYGTTTCGTACAGCATATTCTGAACTTTATAACACAGCAGAGGCTGGGTTGTGTAACAAGCTGAATCTCCCTCCTCTCCCGTTCCAGTTATGATGGGCTCGTTGCTAGCTGCAACCACCGAGGCTCCCGGAGAGTACTTCTTCTCAGACGGCGTGCGGCTGAAGAAGTATCGGGGGATGGGCTCTCTGGATGCCATGGAGAAAAGCATCAGCAGCCAGAAACGTTATTTCAGGTTTGTGGGTGCTAATAATTAGGGCTGGGTATCGATTCAGATTTCCCAAATCGATTCGATTCACGATTCAGTTTGATTGCTTTTTAAATTAGTTAAGGATGTCATGCAGTAACACATTTATTTTGAAACAGAAAACATTCTCAAAGGAATTAATTCTTCAAATAGAAACTACTGTATTTTTCGGACTATAAGCCGCACCCCACAACATTAAAAAAAACAGTACACCCAAAATTGTCGTCAAAAAAGTGAATTCAACATCAAAACATAAAAAGCAAACCTTTAGGAATTAAAGTTTGGAGGAATACGGTTCATATAACTGACCTTATTTTGGTAGTTTTCTTTAACAGCTTCTGGTCCAACAAAACGTCTCATTCATCGTCCTCCGGCGCACTGAAACCATCGAAGTCCTCCTCTTCAGTGTCAGAGTTAAACAAGCTGAGAAAAGCTGCGTCACACAGCGGTATCTGTTGTCCTCCCGGGGTAATGCTGTCTCTGAAGCTGTGGTGTCCTCTTCACGTAGCAGTCCAGCCTTTTGGAACCCATTGGTGATGGTGGACTCATTCGCTCTGCTCCACGCTGTTAGGATCCACTGGCAGACATCAGGAAATGACGCTCTTCGCATTCGGCCAGTTTTTGTGAATGATTTATCCCCGTCAGTCATCCAAGCCTCCCATTCAGCCCTGAGTGCTGCTTTAAATACACGATTCACACTGATGTCCAGGGGTTGCAAAAACTTTGTTGTACCTCCAGGAATAACAGCAGGAATKGAGTTTGTTTTCTTGATGGCTGCTTTCACCGAATCCGTGATGTGGGCCTGCATGCTGTCCAATATCATGTCTGTTGAAGATCCGTCGAGTTGTCTCTGCTACTAGCTAAAACAAAATGGCGCTACACCCCAGGCTAAGTATGGTCGCTCGGCTGTTGACCGGTCGACGCGCCGTCACGTGGTTGTTCGGCGTTCGTTTTCGCACTGACCTTTCATAGTTTCCCTGAGAAACACCGAGCCYAGCTGCTGGGAAAGCCCTCCCGCTCCAGCATACGTCACTGCATGGGATTCCTTCCCCGGGGAGTGCAATGCGGAAAAAAAAAAAAGTCCGCGGCTCTTCACTCGACGTTTATCCACAAACTGGTCCCGGATTAAGCTCCAAAGTTTTTATCAGTCAGATTTTACCGTGAAATGTCTGTTTTATCCCCTTTTATGAGTTTTTGGCCATTGACGATCTTTAAATCGCTGCTTCCTGGTACAACAGTCGGCTCTGGAAGCGATCGCTTTTTTCTTCTCTTTTTTTCCTTTCTTTTTTTGAAATGAGTGGTTGAAGCAAATGCAGCATAAGAGCCCCATGGTGGCTGAAGAAAAAAATCCACGTATAAGCCGCACCGGACTATAAACTAAGTTCAGGAAAAAAGTCACGGCTTATAGTCCGAAAAATATGGTAATTCTTACTTGGTGCATTGGTAAAATAATAAACATTAGGGGCAAACTTGTAAACTGGAGTTTAATCTTGAAACAAAACTGTCTGAAGTTTCAAAGGGTTTAAACTAAAAAGAAATTGCAAGAGAAAGTGTTGTTGATACATTAGTGTTTAAGAAACTAAGAATAATTTTTTTGATCACTAAGAAGTGATGGAATAAGGTTACAGGAGAAGAGGTGGGATAATATAAGTGTACTTCTGCCCGCTCTTTTGAGAGTATGATAATTGTATATTTGCAATGTTTCTGTTACCTTCTGCTCAATAAAACTTAACAAGAAGAAAGAAAAAGAGAGAGTACTTCAGCTAAAACCTTCCATCACTGTGAATTACATTAACATGTTTCATAAATTTAAAAATAATATTGGTAACAAAACTAAACGATTTTGTTAGACTGTCATCTTTCACACATTTATACAGGAGGAGAACAGTTTCAGTCAGATGTTTACACACTGCAGTTTTGTTCGAGCCGCTCGAAGCTTCGTCTCCCGCTACCGCGTCCAAGTGCAAATCTTTGCAAACAGAAGATGTCATGGCTTCTGTGATCAAGTTCTAATGAGAATCCGCTGCTAATGTTTGTGATTCCTTTCTTTTGTTATGCCCCAGACAAATTGTTGTCGGGTGCTAACGTTGGCGCTGAACGTAAATCAGATGTAAACGTACGGAAAATGGATTCAGATCAATTAATCAATTTTTTATTTTTTTTTTAACCAGCCCTACTAATAATTCATCTGAAGTTAGTAATAATAAAGCTAAGTATTAAAAAAGTATTGTTTAATCCACAGTGAGGGTGACAAGGTGAAGGTAGCCCAGGGGGTGTCTGGTTCAGTCCAAGACAAGGGCTCCATCCACAAGTTTGTCCCTTACCTCATAGCAGGCATCCAACATGGCTGCCAGGACATCGGCGCAAAGAGTCTCTCTGTCCTTCGGTGAGTTGTTTTTTATAAATGTGTGGCCCGCTGGTTGTAATCTAAACATTTACGAGCATCACCTTTTAATAAGGTCTCCATTTTCTTGTAGTTCCATGATGTATTCTGGGGAGCTGAAGTTTGAGAAGCGGACTATGTCGGCACAGGTGGAGGGAGGCGTTCATGGGCTTCACTCGTAAGTACCCCCTTCAAGAACAATACAGAAAACTAATAAAACAAATTAGACCTTTTCTTTTAAATTAGACATAAATAAATAAACCAAATTGATGGTTTTGTTACTGGTAGCATTAATAGCGCTTTTCTCACTGAAGGTAAGTGAAATAAGTTTCAGGTCATCAATAACAACTCTGAAATTCAGTTCTTTGAGGTTCAGAGGTAATTCAACAACTTTAAAAGAGAAAAAGTTGCAAAACTGGATATTATTAATACTAGTAAAAAAATACACTCTTAAGTATTAACGAAGAACATATTAAATAGTTACTATCATATTTTTCATAAATTGTATCTAAAACCAGAGGTCTATAAAGTACTTGAAAAAATAACTAAGTAAAATTACATGAACAGAAAATGACTTTTGTAAAAATAAATTTTATTGAGGAGAAAACAACTCAAGTAAAAGTCATAAAACTGTTCACAAAAATTTGGAAAGTAAGAGTACTTTTACTTACTCTCTAAAAAATAAACAGTTGAATTTACTGAACCAAACTGGTTCCACTAGCGCATAAACATCTTTCGTGATGAGTTCAAAAATGTTTAATTTTGTAATGAGTAACTAGGTGTTTCATTTTAAAGTGAAGATGTGAAAGTATCATTTTAGGTTCAAATTTAACAAAATAAAAGTAAAAGTAGCTATTTAAAAAAATGGTAAAATTACAAATCCTCGAAAAAAAAAAACCTACTTAAAGGCACAGTGTGTAGGATTTGTTGTTTTCAGCGACATCTAGTGGTTGAGTGGTTGAATCATCCTCGCTGGTCCTCCCCCCACCCCCACCCCCGCTTCGAAACGCAAAGGAGTTGCTACAGTGTCAAAAACCTTTGATAATTCCAACCGCGATGTCTACCAGCAGCTTCAGGGCTAGTGATGTTTCAAGTGGTAAG